TGTATATTATAAGTTTAACGACATGCTAAGTTAGAAAACCTCTCCAAGGGTCTTAAAAAACTAGACGAACAAAAAAACTGCCCAGTCATGCGAAAGTTCCAACTAATTTAGAATTGCCCATATAGCGCATTGGCAATTTACTCTTTCATTACAAATGTAAGTACAAGCGAGCAAGGAGTGGAAGGTGAGCACAATCACATAAATAGATAAAATTTTCCTGCACATCTTTATCCGATTGATTTTACTTACATTTGAAAGCTACTCGAATGGAAATGTGAGATGTGTATGTATTATTATTAGTTTCATGTATCTGAGTACATTAGGGTATATCACTTTCCATAAAAAAATTTATTCTTTTTTCATCAGAATCATAAAATTTATTATACTTTAGCACCCAAATTCTTAAAAAAATAAAGAATACTCGAACTGTTTTATAAATCGAAAATTTTTATGAAAATGTCACTTTATAAGACACTATTAAAATTTTCTCCAAAAATCCCATTATCTTGATTCCGCTGATACAATTTTTAAAAATCTTTATGCAAACTTTTAAACTTAAACTCTTCTATCAGCCTAGAAGAAATTTTAACTACTATAATTTTATTATAAAAAATCGATTTTTGGAGGTATTTGAAAACTGTTTCAGCCCACGCAAATTTTGATGTTTTCCCTAATATTTTGACGAAAGTCTTAAAGTAAAATACATTTGGTAATTCCGGCTTTTATGATGGGGCAACCTTATGTGCACACATGGATACATTTGCGTTTTTTAGCAAATGTACTTTGTTTTTATCCACACTGATTGTCGCACTGTAAGAATTAACATTTTATGGACTAGAAATATGTATCTACTAAAAAATCATGTCAAAATTAAATGCTAATAAGAAAGGGCGCCTTCTACTTAAATTGATGTATAGAAGGATCCTATTGGTGCTCGTCTTGCTGAGCACAGATCTGTTTTCACGTTACATTTGAAGTCGAAGAATTTTCCAAGGATTGTCGAGTGAAAGAGAAATCAGTGGGCAACCTTATCCGCAATATTCAAGACAGTACAACCTAAGGAGATAGGTGCTGACTGGAACTCTGTGTAACTGTCATTTTCTGGCTTCGTGGTTTCTAAATAAGTAGCTAATTAGGGAGTTACACTTAATATCCAGACTGTAGTTGGGTCATGGCAAAGCGAGTCCCACGGGGCAGCTCATCGTACGCAGAGATACATAAATAGTAATTCGTATGCATTAATATCATGAAGCCGCCATTCTCACACAAAACAAATTGAAACACAAAACATGATTTTGAATATTTTTCAATTATTTCCAAATGTTCAGTGTGGACGATTGTGTTTTCCAAAAAAAACTCTTTTTCATTTAACTAGTTAAGTGGGGCCAATTTGAACGTAATATTACTTCGCAGAAACAGAATATTATATTCACATAATAAATCAAATTAGGTAGCTGACAAGACAACCGATTGAAGTCAGAAGCTTATCACATTGTACTACCATTTTTTATGGCCGTCAAGTAGGCATCCCGCCTACTGCTGTCGCAAAACGCATCCCTGATTCTTTTCGACATTTTCTGCCCGTGGCCAATTTACAAATAGTATTTTCACTTAATATTTTTGTCATCTGCTTTTGCCGTCACACGATTTCTATGTGCACATATGTACATACAAACATATTTTCGCTTTCTCTTGTTCATTTATTATTTATCCATTAGTTGCGTCAGTGGTTGTTGCTCATTTTCTACATACATATCTAGGTACAAGCGCATAAGTATAATAAATATTTAATATATTCACTCTGCTTGATTTAAAATCCCAAAGGACAATGTCTAAGCGTTGGTTGAGCGATGCGGTGGTATTGCTTGGCCAAAACATTTGTGCCATTTGCGGCAAGCAGCTAGCAAGATGAACCGCCGCTGTCTTGTTGTTATGTCAATGGCAAACTCTCCATTTCTTTTGTTTTTTTTTCAATCAACTTTTAGTCCTAATCGAGTGCTGGCATGAAAGTTTGTCTGCTCGGCCCAAAATATTCTTACCACACTTGCTTTTATGTGTGTGTGTGTGTGTGTGTTTGTGTGTATCTACATTTATCTGTGCACTAGTTGAGAAACGGCTTAGTGGGTCAATTCAAATTCGTTCCCAAATATTTGTGGTTTCCCTTTTGCTGTTTTCTTCTCCTCGACAAATAGGCTATGTGGTCTCCCTTTGTGGTTGAGGCACGCAAAACGTCTTAATTTCCTGGGTAACAGGCTACGTGATATACACACATACATATTACTTAAAATTCCTGCTGCTTTAAATAGTTTACAAGCACACGTTTTAAATACATTAGACCGTATAAAAGTTTTTTTGCAAGAAAATGTTGAAATTTTATTTTTTTTTTTTTGTAGAACGTGGGGTTCGTAATCTTTACATTTTTCCTCACATCTTTGGCATTTACAAACGGATGCTCTTGTCTCGAAGAGAATTATTTTTTGTTCCAAAATTCATTCAACTGGAGTAACGGCTCTGGTACCTACCCACCAGATCTCAACTCTTTCACCGTAACGTACCACCATAAATTCAATAAATTCAAGCTATCCAAAAACCATTGAGGAAGTATTTGATTATTCTTGTAGAATCATTTAAAAAAAATGTTATCACCACATGCAGGTGCCTCCGTAAAATGTAGAAAAGATACCCGCTATGTTCGGAAAAAAATTGTTTTTTCAAAATTGCCTTACAAAGACCCCTTAGGGTGTTTAGCAATTTTTTTCCAAACTGCTTTGAATAAATACATTAGAATCAAAGGTGTACGGCGACATTTTTGTGTTTGTACATACATAAACATGTAGTTATATATGTAAGCAACAAACGCTTTATACCAAGGGTCGTTGATTGAGAGGCTGTACAGCCTTGGCGACTGTTTGAAGAGATTGGGAAGGGCTAAATTTTGCTTTGTGTTTTCGAGATGCGTAGAAAAGTTCTTGTTTTAACTCTTGAGACTCATTTTGGCTTATTAAAATTAACTTTATGGGGTCCAAACTATGTTGGAAAGAAATGTGGTGAAAAGGGGTTTCTAAAGCAACGAGAAAATAATTGTGGATGTGCAAAGACTCGAGAGCGGTGAGCTCAATATAATCTTTCAGCTATAAGCGCTGTACATTTTCATTTATGGCACACGGAGTGTGTTCACATTTGGGTAAGCAGACACATAGAAAACAACCAAATTCGGATGCGCGGCGATAGTGGTTGCAATAAAAAAGAAGCCACCTTTATGTAAGTAGATCTAGTATTTAGCCAGCACTGCCTACATATCGCACACCGTCTTAAAAGGAGTCACAACTCAAAATTTGGCATTTTTGAGATTATGCGCTAAAAATGTACGCACAGCTTTTATTCACCTTTAACCAAAAGCTGGAGCAAATTTTTGTTATAATTTGTTAAAAAAAAAAAAATCTAAGGTAAAGTCGCCCTTGCCCATATGATTATTATGTGCTAAGAAATAGTTTTTCGCATTTTCTGAGAAACAAATTATTTTGAGTTGGGACTCTTTTGAAAACGGTGTGCGATATGTAAGTTCAGCCAGGTTAGTACTTCTATACAGATCGATTCATATGCTACACTGACAGTTCAAAGATGATGCCGAAAATCAGCGTTGGAACGCATTGGTCGCTAATCCGAAACTCTGGTGATCGTACAGTTTCAGTCCAAACAGTTTCAGCAAGCACCAGGTGTATATTGAGACCGCATATTTGTAATACAGAATGAAGGATGGTTCCGTGCGCAGAACTTCACGTAAGCGGGAAAAGTGTCTGACTGCCATTCACTTGGGAGCGGCCCAAAGTGATTCTCTTGCGTACAGTTCGAATCGCAGATCACTATGTACAGATATTTGTATCTACGTACACTGAAGGAAAAAATATTAAAATCAATCAGAAAAGTAATTGATCTTACTAAAAACAACAACGAAAGTGCTGTATATTGGTAAATAATCAATTCAATTACGCGCACAATAAAGTATTAATTTTTACTATTTATTATTTCTCTCAGTGTATCTTCTGGGTAGTGACCAACACCCGTTTGCGAGTGCGCTGAGTTTGGGTTCCGCCACGTTAAAGCTGGCGAAATCTGGGATTGTATAGAAATAATGTTCCGCGTTGGTATCACTGGACCATGAGTTTTCAAGGTAATTTTTTCCGCGGTTAAAATGAAAATAGATCGAAGATCTTCTGAAACATAAAAGTAAAGTAGTAACATACAAACAGGCGTCAATGCCAGCGCCAGCGGTTGCCAAGAGATCTCTTTGCTGCTGCGATCAAAATGAAGAGACATTTATTTGCCACTTTCAGGATCTATGTCGACGACTACAGACTAGTGGAATCAAGCACCCGGGATCTCGCTTTTTTACCAATATGACGTGGTAGCAGTAAAGGGACCCTTGGATCTCCTCAATTTTATTTGCGATATGCACTACTTTAGTTGAAAATGACTTGGTACATTGAGTGCCCATGGCTACACGTTTTCGTGCGACACCAAAAACTTCCTGGGGTGCCACGTCGTACGAAAACGTGCGACAGGCATTGTCTGGCCTTAGATATTGTCGTGCGTTTCTGTTTGACTCTATGGGGTTTTTTTATTGTTTTTCTAGTAGCCTAATGTTTGCCCTAAATTTTGGTCCAAGCTTCCTAGAGATATCTTCATTTGTGCAGTTTTTATGATAAAAACTCGGAGGTTCTTTTAAATTTTGAAAATTTATTGGAATTCATTCGAAAAAAGTATAAAAAAGATAGAAAAATATTAAAATTAAGATATGATAATTTCAATTTACATTAATTTTTTAAATGCGTATATTTTGGAAAGCAATCAATGCACAATTGGGGAGTGTTGGGGCATTGCGGACAGTACGTAGTTGTCCTTTTTATGTTCTTTCTTGCTTCCTTTCGACTAAATTTTCTTTTTGCTTCAGCGTAGCATAAATCGCAAGCATGTCGGATGGTTTTATTATTTTCATCTACTCTTGTGGTGATGATATGCTGCGATTGCGGTACAGGCTGCGGGCATGTAAGGCCTAGTAGGTCCTTAGCAACGCGTTCACGGAATGTTCGTATACTCATGGTTTTATTATTCGACGCTGCTTTATACACAGTAAAGGCATTAACCACGGAAAGTCCGAGTAAAAGTTCAATTCCCAGCTTTCGATACCATTTTAACCCTTTGCGAAGGGTATTTGAGTAAGAAGCCATTTGGTCGGAAAGATCAATGCCTGCTTTCCCCTTATTATATTCTACCACTGCCAATGGCTTTTCTGTTGCTCGTCTTTTACGTCTCGCTCCTCGACTAGTTGAAGGCTCTTCAGGATTACGTGCTCCATCTGTTGTGGATACCATTATCGGGGCATGTTTCGTAGATAGCATTCTGACTTCGCGTTTATCTTTCCACTTCAGAACAACTATACCATTGGGATCTTCTCTAGCCACTAGTTCGCCTTTCTTTATAGGTGCAATCATAACTTCTTTTGGGAAATGTTTCTTGTTGGCACGGAGTGTACCGACAACATGTGTTTTTTGATCTAGCATTGAACGAGCCAATTCATAGCTTGTGTAAAAGTTGTCTACATATAAAGTTCGACCTTGACCTTTCAAATCAATAATCAGATCCTCGCAAACACTTTTTGCCAAACCGACTTCTCTCAATCCACTTGATGACTTTCCGGAGTATATTTTCAACGACCAGGTGAATCCTTCAGTAGCGCAGAGCTTAAAAAGCTTTATACCATAAGGATGAGCTTTATTTGGTATATATTGTCGGAATGATAGTCTGCCTCGCCATGGAATAAGGGTCTCATCAATTACTATGTTTTCACCTGGTACGTAAATTCTTTGGTATCTCATTTGTAGCATGTCCAATAGTGGTTTTATTTTACCAAGCCTATCACCTGGTACAATTGAGTTATTGTCTGTGAAGTGCAGGAAACTAAGCAATAGTTGAAAGCGATTACGTGACATTGTTTTCCCCGGAATTGAAAAGTTGTAGAGCGAATCTTTGGACCAATAAAAAAGAAAATAAAAAAAAACAAAAAATTGAAATAAAAACAGATATAATAAAAAATTTAAATAAATGTAAATGAAAATGCGTAAAAAAAAATTAAGAAATAGCAAACAAAATCGCGTCGCACATTTTCGTACGACAGTGATTTTTACGATTACAATTCCGTCGTGCAGTGCCATGTCGTACGGAAACGTGCGACATAAAAAAACCGCTATAAAATCCAAAATAAACCACAAAATCATCCAGGATTGGAGCAGAACTGAATATTTTCTACTTTTACACCAGTTTATAGCAAAAAATGTTCTTGGCACCCGGGGAAGGTTTTCGTCAAAACCCCTTGGCACTCAATGTGTTAAAAGGAATCCCGGTAATGGATATGTACCTCATCTTGCACCCACTCACAGAGATTACTCACAAATGAAACGCATGGAAATATTCTAATTTCGTAAGACTCTAGGGAAAATATGATTTTATTGATAAAAAAGGTTTCCTAGATTTTGCCCAATTTGGGCCAAAATTTCATTGAAAATTACCCGAAAAGAATCAGCTCGTACATGATTTATATTTAAACTTGTTTTTCGTACATTTACTTCCAACCTGTTTTATGCTTAATTAAGCCTTTTGGAAACGTACTGGTATTTAGTAATATATTCCGTGATATAAATACGATTCCAAAATCTAGGAAATAATTAAACTGCTATCGTTTCAAGAATCAAATATATTGAATATATGTATGTATATGGAATAGTATGTATAGATACCAGTTCCTTAGAAATATTTGTTCTAAGTATGTCCGTAGGTCTTTCATAACTCTCGACTGCACTTTGCTTATTGGCATTTCTACTCAAATAAACGATAAATATTGACTTTTTACCATCGAATAAACTAACGCGCTTAGTGAACTGCACTTAATCACCATAACGCTATGTATGTACGTATGTACATATTTGGTTTTAATGGCTTTCAGTGATTTGACTTATGTAATTAAATATCCGCACTACTGGCACTTAACAGCGGAGACCACTCCAAAGCTGAACAATTCCTGCATTATGATTTGTAATTCAAATGAAGACTTAATATTTGCACAAGTCGAACGGCAACTTTAGCCAACACAGTTTTCCATTACCCATTACCCTGACTACCAACATTCTATGAAAAATAATAGTCTTCTTGTGGAAGCAGATAAACGAAAATCAATAGGGACACAAATAAGCCAAAGAACGACTTATTAATAATTCAAAAGGGAAATCCACTTCATTGTGTATAAACTGAAGCTGGCAAACATATGTACATACATAAAAACACACTCGTATAGCCAAAAATACAGATATACCTACATATACCCTGGAGTGAAATTTTGAGTCCATTTTTTTTTTGTTAACAAAATATGAATGAAATTTTTTTTGTTAACAAAATATGTAACAAAAATGTAATGTGTAACAGAAAGGAAAAAAAATATCCAAAAATCTAATCTTAAAAACGGCATCTTATTGAAAAAAAGTGTCCAAAATGGAGCCGGTTAAAAACTAATTGCAAACTAATGCACTGGGCGACAATTGCCACCGCCAATGACATCGCCGTGTAAAACTGGGCAGTTGAAAGCATTGCTTGGGCATTGAGCTAGAACTGGTATTGTCGGCAAAAGATCTAGTTCTACGCTAGCTCTGAGTTAGTCAGATTTTCTGCAGGGTGTATGTGGTACATACATATCTACTATGTCTGTAAGTACATATGCGAGAATGTTACTTGTAACTTGCGTTAACGCAAAAGGTGGAGGTGGAAATACGAGAAAGCATAGTAAATGGTTGGCGAGCAATAAATTTCCAATCAAACTATTTAATAAGAACCGATAAATATTTTCTAGCTACGACACCGTGGTATGGTGGTCACCAAGCTGTGGTTGCAGTCATTAACTTTGACTTGCGCAAACATTCACAATACATATTTGCTGAAGTAGCTAGCCTGTAGGAAATGGGGTACGAACTTTCGATCTTTATTTTATTTGTCCTGAATTCGAAATTCAAAGTAACTTTTGTAAGAGGATAGTTAAACAGAATCGAGTACAGTGATAGAACGGTACGATTACCGAGCACAGAATATCGATACTTTTCTTGAGTACTGAGTAGCATCGAGAACTCGGTACTTTTTGACAAGTACTGAGTACGCATAGCCGGTACCGATTGATGTGTAGTATTGATGGGTAAACAATTTTCTTATCAGTTGTACACAACCTTAATCAATTTTAGTGCTCAATGATAAAAATTGAAACAAAAAATATTGAAAAGTTACATTTTGGCACCATCAATGCAAAAGGCACTAATTGGAATTTTGAAACTTTATAGAAAAAGCAAAACGACTTTTTAAATTAAAAAACGAAGCGCTTACTAGACCGTTCTGAAGATGCAAGTAAATCTCGTTATTGAAATATTGCATTATTGAAATATTTTGAAGTGTTATCGATATTTTTTTGCGAATAAAGGTACTGGCATCGATTCTTTTTCAGAGCATTCTATATCAGTATTTTCCCAAAAATTCTAACACCACTCCTGTATGACCTTAAAACTCACTTAAGGTTTATTTTCCTCATAGCGAATTGAAAGTATGGTATCTATCGAAATATCACAAAAAAGCCGAGTATGTATAAGTTGATTATTTTCGCCAGTTGATACTTCCTACAGGGTATGTATACACATATGTATGTACTATCCACATGTGTGGTGGCAATGAGTTGTGAAAATAATGTTTGCATTACAAAATGCTGGGAAATGAAAATGCATGAAAAAAGCCACCGAGAAAAGTAATTAGAAATGGAAAAAAGTAGTATATATAAGTAGAAACGAAATATGCGCTTGTCATCGAAAAAAAGATTGTTATTCTTTGGAGAATTATGTTGACCAAAAGCAATCGAGTTTGAACGACTTTAAGCTTCATTGAGCTTTAGCTATTTGGTGAGTTAAAGTTGGTTTGTTAAAGAAAAAGTTAACTTGTTTTTTTTTTATATTCAGATATTCTCAAACACATTTTCACACAATCTTTGGGGCACCTTAACTTTTTTGAGGCGTGCTAAGACAAAAGAAAGTTTTAATTTTCGATACAGAAAAAATGTCGATAAACTTCATGACATAATACTGAATATATCGTCCATGACTTCTTTAAAGGGGTTGGTACATATACATAAAGGCGTCGATAATTATTTCAATACATTTAGCGAAAAATATCGATAAATCTGTGAAGAACATAGTCGATAAATAAACAATTGAATAAGCTATTTTTGAATGAATCGATAATCATAAAACAAAATATATCGATATAGATAGAAATCAATAGGTTCAGATGTTGCCACAGTGAATTTGCCTACATAGGTGTCTATGGATAGCCATAAGATATAAAGCTACTTTTCAGGTTATACAACCTACGTTCAAGATGGGCTGATTAAGCTGTTTGGAGCTTTTTTTAAGGGGAAAAGTGCAGCATATTCAGTTGCGCTACTCCGACCCATCCGGTTTAATGCTCAGCAGCGTCTAGCCAGCAGTACGTGCGACTGCAAGATTGTGTCTGCGTCTCAGCAATGAATTATGCGTTGGGCTTGGGAGTCGCCACGTAAACGTCCAGTCCCGTGAAAGTGACAATAAGGCAGCAGATAGGGATCTGCGCCCTCCATTCAATTGCTGGATGTCATAATGAAATAAAAGGCTGGTATTACCGCAGTAAAGGAAATGTGTTGAATATATGTATATATAGCTGGTACGGTTGTGCGGATACACAGATAAGTATTATCTATTTATATAAATATTCAACATTAGGGTAAAATATACGCTCTAGAAAATCGTGCGCTTCTGAAGCGTATGGTTATCTATTACGTAAGTGATAATATGATTACTTTTCTAGGGTTAAAAAGAGGCGCGTGTGGCGTTGCTGACGAAGAAGAACCAAGGACGAGGTATATAGACACAACTAACATTCATTACCATGACCAAAACGAGCTGAGAATTACAATAATGCGGCTTCAAAATAAGACAGCCCCTGTAGCTGACGGAATACAGGCTAACTGTTCAAATCTGGTGGGAGATCTTGCTGTTTGTGCCAATTACCGAAGTATAAGCCTTGTTAAGTAGTATTGCATATATGGTTCATTTAACGATTATGTGCGAGAGACTGAGGCCTTTATAAACCAAAAGATTGGAGCTAATCAGTGTCGCTTCAGACCTGCCGAATTTATCACTAACCATATCTTCACAGTTCATCAAATCCTGCATGAGAGACTAGATATTTAAGCAAACCTACTCACTCAAATTTTTGTCGATTTTAAAACCGCTTTCGATAGCATAAACAGCAGCTATCTATGCGATGCCTAAAGTTGGGATTCCCGCGAAACTAATACGGTCATGTAGAATGACATTTAGCACAACTTTAAGCTATATACCACGGGTTCGTTACACCACAACATTAGCGATTTGTGCTACATATAAATATTTTTTTTTTTTACAAAAATTTACATTTCATTAATTTACATGCATGAATCTACAAGCAATATAAATTGCGCATTCAAATTTTGACATTTTGACATTTGCACATAATTGCACAACATGCACTTTTTCAACAAAAACAGCAAAAGGCATATTAAGTATATGTCATTGGAAAAATTTACATAAGATATGCGTGTTTTATTTCCATTAAATTTAATTTAATGACGCAACAACTAAAAAAAAAAAAGAAATAATACCAACAACAGCAGCAATTGCGGTTGAGTTTGCAACAATACAAACAGGTGTTGCCAACCTCTCTTTAAAGTGGAACAAATTTGCCAGACACCAGTAAGTCAGTAGTACAGTTACATACAAATATACACATGTCAAATTACATACACATGTGCGTGTATGCCTATTTTGGGCGTCAAGTGCTCGAGGCAACATTAAGTAATTTGCATATGAATATGGCATGCGAGCTAAGATGACAA